TGAAATAATCTGGAGTTCAAGAGGTGCAGTTTAGGGGAGATGGGGTTGAGTTAGTAACACTTGGATAATTATCTTCATGTTTGATTCATTTCTGTAACATAAACAAAAATACTATGCATCTTATTCCAAATGTAATGTCTCCCATTGATTTACCCATGGAAACTGTAACAGATACAAACTGCACAGTAACACAAAAGCCTGCAGACCACACTCAGAAAAATCCTCATCTGCAGTGGTGACCCACTGAAACACACCACCCACTGCCTCACTGTGCTCACATCCACTGTTTGGTCTCCATAAATGTTCAGCAAGCATCATTCAGTGTCAGTGACTGTAATGCTTTCTGCGTGTAGGAATTCTGTAAGAAACGTTTGCTTCATATGCACTCCCAAGTCAAATGCCATTCTGTCACAGTGTCCCACGGCTGCCATCTGTCACATGACAACAACATGTAATGGAATATTGGCAGGAAGGTTCAACCTCTACTGTCACAGAACCTAAAGCTGCTTCTGATGTCATGGACCAACATAATAAAATAGAAGGCATTACTTTTGCAAAAGCTGCCATACAAATAAAACCCAAAACAGAAAAAAAAAAAAAAAAAAAAAACAACAAAACCACACCCACAAAAAAAAAAACAACAAAAACAAACAAAAACAAACAAAACAAACAAAACAAAAAAAAAAACACACAAAAAAAAACCCAACAAACTAAGGTGCTTCATAGTTTCTACTGTTGTTCAATGAAGGCAGAAAGATTGGAACAGGCTGGAAAAGGAGGGACAAGAGCTCACTGAGCTTCCAGCCTATGAGTGAGAGTCATCAAAACCTAATTTGTATCAGTTCATAGTCCATAATGACTATGAGACCATTTCTGTGTTTCGAAAACAAAGAGAAACAATACATTAATAAATGGTCTATTCAAAGAAGAGCAAGTAAATGCTTAAAATACTGAAATCTCCATTTAAAGAAGAAAGGTTAAACGGTCCTCCTTCATAAGCAACCCTATGAAGTAAAAGTCTAATTAACTGTCAACTTTGCTTTAAGGACAAGACCTTACTCTATAGCCAAGTGTGTTAAGTCAAACTCTGAAAGATAAACTGCCTTAAATAAGAGGGAATATTATGGTGACTGTCATTCTGATTATTCCAAACATATGCACTAAGACTATTACTTTGATAACTGCCCAGATGTAAAATGTCTCTCTTAATAAAGTAGTGGGCACAAATATCATAAGCTGCCAGAATTACGACCAGTAGTAACTACAAAGATTGGGGTCACAAAGTCTTCAGAGCTGTGAGGTAAATGGACAAAATATTAGAACAGACCTAACTGACCATCAACCCATACCTTACCAGACCTATACCAGTGATAACACTGCTAAGGATTGTTAGTTTTTAATGCTTGTGTTAGCACTTCCATTTCTTACTCAGACAATTAGCATTACTATTAATTACAGAAATCAGAACACTTTAAAATAATGAGTGTTGAAGAAAATTCTTAGCTCCCTCACAGCAGAAAGAAAACTAATTTTTTTTTCCCCTCATGTTTAATGCCAATTAGTAAAGCATGGTTGAGACTCAACATGGAGTTCAAATGCAATTAAGCACTGCTATAATAAGTACTACAGTTAGTATTTACAATGTGGTTGTGGCTAATAACCAATGAGAGTGTTGCTCATAACAGATAAAGTTTAACTAGATAATATAACATATCTTATGGACTACATGGATGTCTTCTTAAAAGTGCCTGCCATTATACTGTAGAATACTTTTTACAATAATGAAATACTATTATAAAAAAGCATGATATAATGAGTAGGAGAAAGGAACAGGCTGTAAAAAGTAGAAGACTACTTTCTAAGCTGACATGCCAGAAACACCCCCTCCTTCACTGATTTGCAAAATGAAAAGCAACATTATTTTTAATTACATATCATGAGTACAGATATACATAGTCATAATTAAAAGCCTCTTGCATTTGAGCAAGCTGCACTGTTGCTGTTACAGTGTAGAATATCAATCAAGCTAACATATGACAAATGCCATTCTGCTCTGTTGCATTTCAGATTCTTAATTCTGAAATATTTCAACTGTGGCATCACTTCCTTTTTCTCCCTGAGATACGACTCCAGTTCTTCAATAAATATGACAGAGAAGCAGAAGGATAAACTTCTGCTCAAAGGAAGATATTTCCCTACCAAAAAGTGTAAGTACAAAATTACCACCAACAAAAAGATTTTCTTCTGTGATAGGATAAGCTTTTACTACAATATAGGAAGAGATCTAGCTCTTTAAAAAATAATAATAATGTTAACCACAAAAAAAACAGCAGAGAACCGAAAGACAAAATTTGACACAAAAATAACCCTGAATGAAAAGGAATACCTTTGAGTGTTTCATCAAAAATTGGTTTAGAACAGCTTTTTGAAAGTGCGCTGTCTGCATGCATGTCTAAACAGGATTTTTCTGTATGCTTTTAAAGTGCATAGCTATGGAAGGCTCTGAATACAATGTGTCTCTAACTCATAGGGAGAAGGAAATCAGATGCCAAATAAAGAATTGGTTATACTTCTGGCTACTGTACAAATTTGATCTTCGCTCAAGCAAAACCAGCTTCCATTACTGTATCACTATTTGCAGCTGTTAAGAAGTGAACATTGCTAGAAGGCGTTGAAGTGATAGTCTTCTCAAGGGTTTAGGTTTAAGCAGTGCTGGGTTTGGCTACCCCCAGTACTTACTGAAATGCTTTCAATTTCTTTTGTTCCTCTGTAGGGGGAATTTAATAAATGTAACATAATAATTCTATAAGAATAATATATATATAATGAACACAGGTGATCTGATACTGCACTGGAAAAAACTTCCCTCCAACTATTTCAAGGGTATGGTCTCACCAGAATTGGATCTTTGTGGTAGAGCTACCTGTCATAGCACACACAGCATAATGTGAAAATGGTAGCTGAGCACCTATCTCAACAACTGAGTTACAGCATGCAAGCACTCCCATGGGAATTGTGCTTCCCACTTTCCTTAGACTGAGCTCAAAATCTTACAATGGTGTTTGAAGAAGCTGAGTTCTCCATCACATTTATAGAGCACATATGTCCTTCAGGATTAAGAATCATAAGCATCTGCATTGGTCAAGTCGGATGCTCACTTCCTTGGTATTAAATCAGGAATCGTTGAGACGAGAGTTTGATTTCATTTCACAGTGTAGTATAAAAGCTTACATACCTTCAGCTAAAAATATACAAAGTTTATATTATCCCACTTTGTAACACTTGTGTTTCCAGAATCATAGAGTGGATCTTTTCTCTGTCTTCTCATTACACAGGGCAAAGGAGGTGAGAAAAGTTACTATAACAATTCTAAGAGAAATGCATCATTCCAGCATCAAAAGCCAATATTACAAGCTGACAATTTTTGGAAAAGGTTATGGCTTGTAAAACCAATCATTCACATATTTTCTGGAACAATATTGCTCTCTCTTGGAATGAGTCAGGAATTAATAACATAAACTGTTACATTTTATTCTATTTTTAATTATACTTAAGAGAATTTGCTGTGCGATGTATTTGATTTCAATTCATTTGAATTTCATAGCAAAATGTATTCCCTCATTGGTTTCTTGTACAATTTTCTAATGTAAAATATAAAGGGCTCTTAATATGAACAAGTACCTAAATTTTTTTTTATTGAAATAACTTTTCCACTTCAAATAAGCCATTTGTAGCTCATTTTCAGCTATGCAAGCATGATTTCCTTTAAAACCAAATAAAGGCACTGTGTCAGAGCTTTCTTGATGCAAACAGATCAGTGCACTTATTTCAGCTGAGGATTTCACTAATTCATGCCAGATTTCTACACCTTGTACCTTAGCTGAGAAGTCCCTTGCTTCTCGAAGACATATCTTACTCTTTCCCCAGGCAGAGGGAGAAATGATAGCTACAAGATTTGCCTCATAATTTTCAGAATGTTTCCATTTGCATTTCATGTGATTTCCCAGGGGGAAAAAAAAAAAAAAAAAAAAAAAAAAATAGTACACACTCCAGTATCTTGGCAAAATATTGCTCCATTTCAGCCAAATCTGACTGAGAGCTAAGGGTCTTGAAAGCATTAAACACCAGAAAAGAGTTGACCATGAAGATGCACGTGTACTTCCACTGATGAAACCACAGAGAAAGCTGCACCATTCCAGTAACAGGAATTTGCTGACTAGATAGCTGGTTATGAACATTAGGGTACAACTTTTCTACAGACACGAAAAAATAAGGCAAAAAGACGGGAGTGAAACTATGAAAAGAGATACAGGAAGCTGAGCTGGCACTGAAATTGGAAGCAGGATTTTAACAGGACAGTGCAAGTGAGACAGTTCACAAAAAAAGAGAAAACCTTTTTTTTTTTTAAATGGAATTGGGCAAGTGTGAGAGAGGCTGCTATTTCCTGCATTGGTGACATGTGCAGAATAGGTTCAAATCAAAAATTATGATATTTCATTAATTCTATTTCCTCAGCCTTAATTTGGTGTCACACAGTTGAGACAATGGCAATGAACATATGAGTCTCCTCGTCTCAGCCAACAATTGGCAATGATACCTCTTGGCCTGCAGTGACAGCACTATTCTGAACTCCTGGGCAATCTGAGAGGATCTCATTCAGAGATATACAGACATGCATATATATATATATATATATATATATATATGCATATATCAGAAAAAAATCAGTAGCAGATGAGATATATTAAAACATATTCCTCTTTTCTTAAATAACAGTTCATAGCTCCAGTCTCTTCTGTTATTGAAAGAGTAGCCCTCTCAAAAACTAAGAATGCTTTATTATAGTTACTTTTTAAAATCTGCACAGTATTGTGTTATATAAGACCATCTGCTGACACTGCAGTAATTTAAAGGAAAGGAAGCAGTAGTAACAGCACTTGACAATACATCAGAAGCCAAAATACACATACAGTATTTGTAGAAGAATGAATTAACTATACCTTAAAAAATAACGGCTCTTCGGGAAGAGGGCTAACAGGGAGTGAGGTGGTGCTGCTAGCTGGACTCATGTCTGTACTCTGAAAGAAAACACACAGAAATTCACATTGGCAATCAAGTTTTACAAATCTCTCTTCGTATTTTGGGGAAGAAAGAGCTCAAAAACTATACTTAAAATTCAACAGAATTAGACTGAGAAAACAGCTGCCATCTATACAATACTGATCATTAATTAGTAAAAGAGTGTTTCACAACGAGTATTTATTTTTTTATTTTGAACAAAATCCTCATTCGAAGACTGAAACACATGCACAAACACATGCAAAACATGCACAAACACATGCAACTGTATCACATCTACAAAGAATAATCATGGAATCATAGAATCACAAATTTTGAAAGGACCTACAAGATCATCTAGTCCAACCATCCATGCAAGATGAAAATCAAAACAAAATCTCACACAGAACAGACAACAATATATAAATTATTTATTTGATGGTCAGATGTTGAAATTAGAAGGCAAAACTAATATGAAAACATACTGCAGAAAAGCATCTGAATTAATGTTTTAAAAAGATCCCTTCCCCATGAATTAGTATATATTACAATTGAGCACTAGTAGATGAAACTAAAGAGCGAACAGCAAAATTAATAATGAAGTCAGTAAATGTATCCAGGCAAAATGACTAATAGACCAAATAGAAAAATCCAGTCTTTTTAAGGCTATTGACATAGTTCTCATTTGAATAGATAAGTCATGTAAAAGAGGAGCATGGGGACTCTTTTTCATTGTAATGGTAATAATGACAGAAGAACAAAATCTTTAAGAAAATGCAAATATGATACAAAATTTTTCTGAAGAATACTAGAATGCGTAATACTTCTAGGGAAACAAGTCCATGAGTGCCACGATTTAATAAATTTATCTTACGCAATTAACTAATCAGGTATATGTTTTCACATCACTATGATGGGACCCATTTAATAGGCACAAGATCTGAAAGTAAAGAATATTGCTGGACCCCATTAAGTTTCACTAAC